CGTTGTTCTGATGTTTTATATTTTATTTTTTGGGTGTTTTACACTAATGAGGAGCAGCATTTATTTAGTAAATATTTAGTAATTATTTCACGTTTTTTTGGCGCTGGCGATTTTTTATATATAGGATGGTCATGTTTGCTTTCATAGATTGTTCAAGACAACAACTCTATCCTCAAATGATGTCACAAAATACTAAGAGGCTAGAGATCCCTGTGTAATACCACTGTCGCATCCCAAACTCAGGGCTTTCCCTGACTCCGATGCCTTAAAATGAAGAGTCAAGAATATATCAATTGTGCCAAAGCTTCCTATTATAAAGGAAACATTGCCTCAGGATAATCTTTCTCATTACATTACAAACCTTTTATATATCTTGTCTTCCCCTGCAACTAGAATTTGTTATGATATTGGAAAGCCTTGAGCTGATATCATTGTTAGTCAGCAACAAAAATAAATAATAAGTTGTATATAATGTAAGAAAAAGAAAAGAACCCTTAGCTAGTTACTGTTTTTTTGCATGGATGTCTTCTAAAACATGGTTTAAGCCATTATATTATCGTTATTATAATATCATCATGTAAGCCATTATAATAGAGACAGTCATAATTAAGGACATTTTCAGCCACCTTCTACTCCTATATATATACAGTTGCAAGAAAAAGTATGTGAACCCCTTGGGATTACGTGGAGTTTTGCATGAATTGGGCATAAAATGTGCTCTGAACGTCATCTAAGTCACAACAATAGAAGAACACAGTCTGCTGAACATAATACTACACAAACATTAGATGTTGCCATGGTTTAATTGCACATAACATGTAAACATTCACAGTGCAGAGAGGAAAAAGTATGTGAGGCCCTAGCTTAATGACTTCTCCCAGAGCTAATTGGAGCCAGGAGTGAGCCAACCTTGACTAAAAATAGTGTGATGATATTGGATGTGTTGCTGACAGCTGTCCTGCCCTTAAAAAACACACACCTGTTTTGGGTTTACTGGTTTCAAGAAGCACTGTCTGATGTGAACCATGCCTCACAGAAAAGAGCTCTCAGAAGACATACGATCAAGAATTGTTGACTTGCAAGAAGCTGGAAAGGGTTACAAAAGTATCTCCAAAAGCCTTGATGTTCATGTCTCCACGGTAAGACAGACTGTCTACAAATGGAGAAAGTTTAGCACTGTTGCTACTCTCCCTAGGCGTGTTCATCCTGTAAAAATGACTGCAAGAGCACAGTGCAGAATGCTGCATGAGGTAAAGAAGAATCCCAGAGTGTCAGCTAAAGACCTACAGAAATCTCTGGCACATGCTAACATTTTTGTTGACACATCTACAATAAGGAAAACACTAAACAAGAATGGAGTACATGGGAGGACACCACGGAGGAAGCCATTGCTGTCCAAAAAGAATATTGCAGCACGTTTGAAGTTTGCAAAAGAGCACCTGGATGTTCCACAGCACTACTGGCAAAATATACTGTGGACAGATGAAACCAAGATTGAGTTGTTTGGGAAGAACACACAACACTATGTGTGAAAAAAAAAGGCACAGCACACCAACATCAAAACCTCATCCCCACTGTAAAACATGGCGGAGGGAGCATCATGGCTTGGAGCTGCTTTGCTGCCTCAGGGCCTGGACGAATTGTTGTCATTGATGGGAAAATGAATTCCAGAGTTTATCAAGACATTTTGCAGGAAAACGTACGACCATCTGTCCGCCAACTGAAGCTCTGCAGAGGATGGGTGATGCAACAGGACAATGACCCAAAGCATACAAGTAATTCAACAAAACAATGGCTGCAGCAGCACAGAATACGCCTTCTGGAGTGGCCCAGTCAGAGTCCTGACCGCAACCCGATTGAAATGCTGTGGCATGACCTTAAGAGAGCGATTCACACCAGACATCCCAAGAATATTGCTACACTGAAACAGTTTTGTGAAGAGGAGTGGTCCAAAATTACTCCAGATCGTTGTGCAGGTCTGATCTGCAACTACAGGAAACGTTTGGTTGAGGTTATTGCTGCCAAAGGAGGGTCAACCAGTTATTAAGTCCAAAGGTTCACATACTTTTTCCTCCCTGCACTGTGAATGTTTACATGTTATCTGCAATTAAACCATGGCAACATCTAATGTTTGTGTAGTATTATGTTCAGCAGACTGTGTTCTTCTATTGTTGTGACTTAGATGACGTTCAGAGCACATTTTATGCCCAATTCATGCAAAACTCCACGTAATCCCAAGGGGTTCACATACTTTTTCTTGCAACTGTATATACATATATGTATATATATATAGTCAAAAGTATTGGGATGCCTGCCTTTACACGCACATGAATTTTAATGGCATTCCAGTCTTAGTCCGTAGGGTTCAATATTGAGTTGGTCCACCCTTTGCAGCTATAACAGCTTCAACTCTTCTGGGAAGGCTGTCCACAAGGTTTAGGAGTGTGTCTATGGGAATGTTTGACCATTTTCCCAGAAGGGCATATTTGTGAGGTCAGGCAGTGATATCGGAGGAGAAGGCCTGGCTCACAGTCTCTACTCTAATTCATCCCAAAGGTGTTCTATCGGGTTGAGGTCAGGCCTCTGTGCAGGCCAGTCAAGTTCCTCCACCCCAAACTCACTCATCCATGTCTTTATGAACCTTGCTTTGTGCACTGGTGTGCAGTCATGTTGGAACAGGAAGGGGCCATCCCCAAACTGTTCCCACAAAGTTGGGAGCATGAAATTGTCTAAAATGTCTTGGTATGCTGATGCCTTAAGCGTTCCCTTCACTGGAACTAAGGGGCCAAGCCCAACCCCTGAAAAACAACCCCACACCAAATCCCCCCTCCACCAAACTTTACACTTGGCACAATGCAGTCAGGCAAGTACCGTTCTCCTGGCAACCACCAAACTCAGACACCTCCATCAGATTTACAGACAGAGAAGCGTGATTGGTCACGCCAGAGAACATGTCTCCATTGCTCTAGAGTCCAGTGGCGGCGTGCTTTACGCCACTGCATCCAACGCTTTGGTTTGCACTTGGTGATGTAAGGCTTGGATGCAGCCATTGGAAACCCATTTCAGGGAGCTCTCTACACACTGTTGTTGTGCTAATCTGAAGGCCACACGAAGTTTGTAATGTCTTTAGCTATTGACTCTCCAGATAGTTGGCGACTTCTGCGCACTGTGCGCTTCAGCATGCGCTGACCCCCACTCTGTCATTTTACATGGCCTACCACTTCATGGCTGAGTTGCTGGTTTGTTCCCAGTTGCTTCCACTTTGTTATAATAGCACTAACAGTTGATCGTGGAATAATTAGTAGCAAGGATATTTCACAGATGGACTTATTGCACAGGTGGCAACCTATCACGGTACCACGCTTGAATTCACTGAGCTCCTGAGAGCGACCCATTCTTTCACAAATGTTTGCAGTCTGCATGCCTAGGGGCTTAATTTTATACCCCTATGACCATGGAGGTGATTGGAACACCAGAATCCAGTCTGCATGCCTAGGGGCTTAATTTTATACCCCTATGGCCATGGAGGTGATTGGAACACCTGAATCCAATGATTTGGAGGGGTGTCCCAATACTTTTGGCAATATAGTATATATATATATATATATACTGTATATAAATATATATATATATATACTGCATATAAATATATATATATATATATATATATATATATATATATATATATATATATATATATATATGCCTTTGCTTCAGATGGAACTTGGTGAAACTCAGTTCCACCACCTCCGGCTCAGGCGCTCTGCTCCCTGCTCACTACTGTCACAATTCCAGCTTCTGTGTTTACAAGTGACAGTGTGCCTCCAAATGGCTCCCACAGATCTGATCTCCTGAGTGGCTCCCACTGAATGCAGGGTGGGGACAACGGAGATGCAGGTGCCCAGAGTGCAGTGCAGATGCTGACACCACCACTGGATGATCTTCCTGAGTGAGAAAAGTGGAGTGTGTAGGGAGGTAATAGAGCCGTCTGGGTACTTCAGCTTAATACTCCAACAAAAGTAAGACATATGGAAGATGGTGCAGCTTTTAAGGTTGGGGGGAAGATGGGCAGTGGAGGGGGGTTGCACCCCCAAACTCTGCATTCTGTGTATTAGCCCCCCAAACTCTGCACTCTGTATGTACTGCACTCCTGATATTTAATGCCCCTTTAAGACCCTCCTACTGTTAGTGAAATTTGACCACACCCACTATTTGATATGGTTTGGAGGGTGTGTGGAGGGGATAGGGTATTGTGGGGTTGTGGGTGAGTTCCTGCAACTATTTTCAGAGAGAGAGAGAAAAAGAAAAAAAAAAAAAAAAATATATATATATATATATATATATATATATTGAAAGTAATAATATTCTTTGATATGGCTGTGTGGCTTTAAATGTATAGAACAAAAGCCCCGTCTTTACACTAAATTTATTCAAATAGTTTAATTAGGTCTTTTACACTAAATGCTTGGACTGAGACTAAGTTCACACTTGTATGTCTGATTTTAATGGGGTTTCTTTTTTACATTTTAATGTGTTTTTACTGCATTTGTCATTCCTTTTTTGTGCATTTTCATTAATTTTTCATGCACCTTCATTGAAGTCTAGGAGGCCAAAAACGCATCAAAAGAAGAGCCTGTCATACAGAAGTGCAATGCATAGGTATAAACAGGCCTCCTAGAAAATAATGGGATTCCTCTTATGCATATTTGCCTAATGGACTAGGCATAAAATAATCACACAATTGTGAGCAGGGACATAGTGTTGGGGAATTTTTGTATTAAGTTATATCTATCTTTTACTCTGCCTGTCTATATACATTTTAAATACTTCATGTAATATATGTTTCAGCAAACTGGGATCTGAACTGTATATAATATTCTCCTATTAAACTTAGCTACTGTATATTTTTGCTTTTGTGCGGTAAAATATAGTTAATTATGTAGACGTACTGCCCCCTAGGGCTTGTAAAACAATACGACATGGCCCTGTCTTTTCTTTACCATATTTCCATGAGAGCACAGGCTGCTTTCCTCCTAATGCCTACTAACGGATGACTGAGCTTCCCCTTCAGAATGGGGACAGCTCCTGCATTAAGAGCCTGGGCAGCGTCTGCTTGGAGACAAAAATGCAAAGTTTCCAGAATCAGCTCCTGTATTTCATCATGCTCTGACTCCAGCTTGCTCACCAGCTGGGCTATTAAACTGGCATCAACAAGAGCGGTTGCACCTGTAAAGACAGAAGACAGGAATACCTTTATTTAAAATCTATAACTCTGTATATTCTAAAAAAAAATAAAAATTATATACAGGGGAAACTCGAAAAATTAGAATATTGTGCAAAAGTTCATTTATTTCAGTAATGCAACTTAAAAGGTGAAACTAATATATGAGATAGACTCATTACATGCAACGCAAGATAGTTCAGGCTGTGATTTGTCATAATTGTGATGATTATGGCTTACAGCTCATGAAAAGCCCAAATCCACAATCTCAGAAAATTAGAATATTACATGCAATCAATAAAACAAGGATTGTACATAGAACAATATCGGACCTCTGAAAAGTATAAGCATGCATATGTACTCAGTACTTGGTTTGGGCCCCTTTTGTAGCAATTACTGCCTCAGTGCGGCGTGGCATGGAAGCTATCAGTCTGTGGCACTGCTGAGGTGTTATGGAAGACCAGGATGCTTCAATAGCAGCCTTCCTCTCTTCTGCATTGTTCGGTCTCATGTCTCTCATCTTTCTCTTGGCAATGCACCATAGATTCTCTATGGGGTTCAGGTCAGGCGAGTTTGCTGGCCAATCAAGCACAGTAATCCCATGGTCATTGAACCAGGTTTTGGTGCTTTTGGCAGTGTGGGCAGGTGCCAAGTCCTGCTGGAAAATGAAGTCCGCATCCCCACAAAGCTCATCTGTTGAAGGAAGCATGAAGTGCTCCAAAATCTCCTGGTAGACTGCTGCGTTGACCCTGGACTTAATTAATCACAGTGGACAAACACCAGCAGGTGACATGACTCCCCAAATCAACACAGATTGTGGAAACTTCACACTGGACTTCAAGCATCTTGCAGTGTGTGCCTTTTCATTCTTCCTCCATACTCTGGGTCCTTGGTTTCCAAATGAGATGCAATAGTTACTCTCATCAGAAAACAGGACTTTGGACCACTGAGCAACAGACAGGTCTGTTTTTTCTTTAGCCCAGGTAAGACGCTTCTGACGTTGTTTGTTGTTCAGGAGTGGCTTGACAAGAGGAATACGACATTTGAAGCCTAGAATATTGCACCTTTTCACAATATTCTAATTTTCTGAGATTGTGGATTTGGGGTTTTCATGAGCTGTAAGCCATAATCATCACAATTATGACAAATCAATGTTTAATGTTGCTGTTATGTGTGGACTCTTCTCTGCACATTGTAGCTAAGCAATTCTAAACCAGGAAGAAACAAGACAGCTTTCAAGATGCAGCAAGAGTTGAACCCATACTGCTGCTGCTGTATAACAAATGACATCCCCTCAGCTCCATCTTTTGACCTGCTGCTCTGCCCTTATCTCAATCTTTTTACCGCAGAGAAAATCCTTGAAATAATTTTCAGGTCTCAGGAAACCCTTGATAAAACCAATTTATTGGTGGTCAGTGAGCAAATGGACCCTTACATTGGTGGTCAGTGGGAAGAACGTCCCCCTTACAGTGGTGGCTAAAATGCCACTGTTACAGATAGCTAAAAAGACCAGTGGGTTCAAGCAGGTGGCTCTGCCATGTGGCACCAGACATGGAACTATGCAGGCACCATCAAATGGGAAGTCAATCAGCCACAGCTTAAGGAACCCCTAGCAACGTCTGGAGGAACTCTAGAGTCCAGCAGAACCCTGGCTGAGAATGGATGACTTAGAGTGAGTCTGTGGTTTGCCCATGGGGCACCAGGTGCTTTTTGATGTCACCTCCAACAGCTACATATACTAATCTTCCTTTTGCTCCCCACCAATTTATTTGGGCTGCAGCTCAACTTTCAGTTTGCTCATGGCTGAGGAATCTATCCCCACCATTATGTGACAGCACTGACGCCTGTGTGGCCCAAGAATAAAGCAGCTGCAGTGTCACCCAAAAAGAGGTGGCAGGTAATCTTCGAAGGCTTTTTATTAATATTCAAACTCCAGTGGACAATAAAGGTAAACATGTATTATTGTCACTGGATATGACAAAAGCATAAAATTCCATAACGCAGGAATATCTCTAGTCGATGCTTGAGAGATTTGGGTTTGGGTGCCTATTTATTGCCTGCGTGAAATTTTTGTATTATGACCCACAAGTGGCTATACGGGAGGGGGGTTGACTCTCTTCCACCTTTAGGTTGGGAAGGGGCACCTGACAGGGCTGCCCCCTTTCTCCATTATTATTTGCTTTAGCAATGGAGCCTTTGAATAGATCTCATGAGGAAATAGATGGATTCACAGTCCCATCCAAGAAAAAATTATGCTTTACGCTGACAATATGCTTTTGCTCTTGGGCAACACTGGATCATCACTTAGAGTGGCAATGGAAATAATCTCCTGATTTGGCCAGTGTTCAAGTTTAACCATGAACTGGACTAAGTATGCTCTCTTGCCTCTGAATGGGATAGTGGAACCCAATGTCTCCCTTGTTGTCCGGTCCAGATAACGTCACGTCATACTTTAAATAACTTGGTATAATTGTTACTGCAAATCCCCTAGATCACAGCTGATTGAACGTAATACTTCTGTTGTCTCCTTTTAGCAGTAAAATTAAACTTTGGAAAAAATTAATTTTTTCTTTGATTGGTAGGACCAACCTTATTAAAATGATTTTAATGCCTACTGTATCTTTTACATACTACTCCAGCAGCATTTCCATTGAAGGTATTTTGCTCAATTGACACTACATTCGCTATGGTGGGATAAAACACCTAGGAACACGTGCAACGTTCTAAGGATGAGGGAAGCATGGCTCTTCCAAATCCTTGGATATATTATATGGTAGCCTAGCTGCAACATATAATTAGAGGAATGGCATTATTACCAACTATGCCTAATAACATATTAGATCACGCTCTTGCAGTAATATTACTTTTTGTTACCTCTAAAACTCTGACAGCAGGGTTGGAGTTCTTATCTTTGTGTAGATAAAATAAAGGTATCCTACATATAGACTTATGATCAAAATATGGGAGAAATTAAAGCAAGCAGAGTTTCTGGCTTTACTCTATATAGTCCAGTAGGATCAAATTATATATATCCGGAGTTAGCCAAGTTGCAATACAGCAGTAAATGAAGTGTCACTCACCTGCATCACATCTTTGATGCAGGTGAGCTTGTACCTTTTTCTATGCTTCAAATAAAATGTAATCTCCCAGATAGTATGTATTTTTATAATCTACAAATTTAAACATGTTATTATATCTCAAGGTCCATCTATACCTTGGCATATTTCCCCCACGCCTATTTTTATCTTAATGCAGAATACCACTACAATGAAGGGTTTTATATCCAGGTACTGTATTCTGCATTACTCCTGAAAGAATATTTGGAAGAACATCCATGTAGTGCTATGGTAAAATAATGGGAGATGTGGGCAGTATAGGGCCAGAACAGTGAGAGGAGGCTTTGCAGTCTGTACATACTGTATGTGCTCTTTGAGTATGTCTCAGAGGCTCTTACAATTATATATAATACTACGGGTATATTACACTCCAGCTAAGTTAAACATTATGTGCCTACGCCAGGAACCCACTTGCACTAGATGTTGCAGGGAGTATGGAGATTTGCTACACATGCTCTGGCGATGTACAAAGCTATATAGATAAACAATATTAATGGTACATTTAAAACCAATATTGAATTAGATTCCGAACAATGCTTATTAGGTATCCTCAGTGCTGTAGTTCCACAGTTATCTACTAGAGAGGCACTTTCCAGCACACTATTCCAGGTTTGTAAACTTATATTGAAATACTGAAAAAGGGAACATGCCCTGATCTAAGAAAAGTGGATACGCACTATGGGTATTATTTTGAGATATGACCATTTTAATTTTTCAACACTGTGGTTGCCTCGATAATTCAGAAAGAATATGGGGGGATGGTTGAATACTCCTGAATTAGTACCACTTTACATAATGCTGTACAGACAACTATAACCTTGGTAAGATTGGTTTTGTTAGAGTCATATATTTATACCAGTGACATGTGCCTTTAAGTTATATAAACAATATATACTGGTGTGATGCTTGTTTGGACAAAGGTATGCTCTGGAAAGTTGAAAACTCTGGAAAAGAGGAAGTTTATAAACTTTGTTATTTTATCATTTCTAATAAACTTTGATTTAAAAAAATAAAAATGGTATGAAGTTTAGGGGGCCTCAACTGCGGCCCCCAATGTCACCAAAAGTTTACACATAATTTCAGTATATGATGAGACTGGAGACAACAACAGTATATGATGAGACTGGAAGAATGCTGTAGCTTTTACAAAACTGGGGAACCCACTGCTGCTTATAGTGTTTATAATTGTTCATTTTTTTCTTGTTGGTTTCTTTCTTTTTTGGTGTTGAGACATCACAATCTGTTTATATTAGAGGGACTTAATGTGAGGGCAATAAAGGAATAACAGAGAGAAAAAAAGAAGTATCAGATGTTTGAGTGAGATTTGCAATAAAAAATGCTATTGTTATAAAAACATTGTGTGTAAAGGTGTTAAATGTCTGAATTTAGTCAAAAGCTCCCCAATTCAACCAGCCCAACCAAAACTGCAGTTTCTTTGTTCCTTTGTTCCTGGAGTCGCTGTTGGCATAAAGTGCCACACCAATTAAGCACAGGTATTTACGTAGATAATCCTTACACCTAGGTCCTGATCAGAAATCTAGTAAACAAGGAGTATTTTTAGACTCCAAGGGTATGAAATGTATTTGAATGATGCCTGGCAGTTTTTGCAGATAATAAAAAATGCCATTAGTGTACCTATCATATCTAAAAACATATTGTGTGTCCCAAAGGTGTAGTAAATGCTTAAGTTGATTTAGTCATTGGGTACAGACAGCTGGACTACCAATCCAACTTCGGATGGTCAGTACCAAGAGAAAATTCTGGAACTGGATTTGGTTTTTTCACTATTTCTTTTCAAGTGTGCTATTTCCATTTGGAATCTGTTGCTGTCAACTCTCAAGTTCCAAAGAGCTGTCACTATTGAAGCAAATTAGGCTGAAAAAAAAACCCATCCGGTGCAAAAACATTAGCTCAGACCAAAACAACTGTTTGGAACATTCAAAAGAAACCCGGTGAGCTCAG